GTATAGTTGCTCAGAAAAACACCTGCTGCCTAGTTTACTGAGATGTCTACGTCTGAATGAATAGAATATTATGATTATTATGAATAAATAGTGTTTGAACATCCAGACCATGAAGGACGTCCTCCCACTGTTACTGTTCTGTTCTTAAGTTTTCTGTTTGTTGAGCCACAGTGTTGTGGTTTAGCGATATGACAACATCAATGTATAGTTGTTACGAGGTAGCTTCTGGCTTTATTTATTCCGCTCTAGTTGTGTTGTTGCTTCGTGGGCAGTGTTATTAATCAACGAGCAGGTCTGCTTTACCGCCATATTGGATTTTGATATGATTTCTGAATCACTGACTAGGTTTTACATGCACACTGATATTACACCATTATTCTGCATTTGATACAGGTTATGTAAACGGCATGTATTCCTTATTTTGATGAAGACTCGTGGGATATGGAGCATTCTTTATTGGACACGTATACAGCACATTTACAATATGAGTCATACACACGACGTCTTTCCTGTTTACCATGTCGGAGTCCGTTTTCATGCATCGCCGTGAAAGGATGATGCATTGAATGTGTTGTAACTTTGAATTAAAGTGTTCACCACTGAGCAGTGAGCAAGAGAGGACATGTTGAATGGTTTGCATGGCTGCATGAAAACAGGAATATTAATATTCATCAGCCATGTTAACAGCTTAGCAGGAATATTGTCTTTATTGGAACAAGTGCAAAAATAACCTGAATATTTTCTGCACGTAAACAGTCAGTGATGGAATAAATCAAATTAGCTCGATTTACAAAAAAAACAGACATTCCTGTCTGGTTAGTTCCAACGATAGTTTCTGAATTAATTTACAGAGATATATTTATATTGGACCAGAATATGATATAATAGTAACTATCCATTCTATAGTGTTTCCTCCATAGCGCCCACTCGTGTTGTTTCTGTCTCTTTGCACATGAAGCTGCTCTAACACACCCTGCTGCCTCACTAACCCTCACCTTTCTGTTCCTCTCACCATGCTCACTCTAACCATGCTAACACCAGGAGGATGATGAGGGCAGCTGGGCCCAGGTTTGCACCCCCCC